TTGTCGACAGTGTTTGGAGAAGATGCACCTATAATGGTATTTCTGCAATGAGTGCTATGCTGCTGAGCAGGACCACAGAGCCTCTTGTTTTGCTTACTGTGCTAGGGCTGCAAACTATGATTATTTCTGTGTTCCCTCTCCATTAAGCTGTTGTGTGAAATGTAGCTTGGTCTGGTTCAGCTCTGAATTGAAACATCCTGGCTTGTTGAGTGTTTCTTAGAAATAGGTGCTTTTTAAACTGGATTTATAGTCTTTTATTTAAATAAATAAATAAATAATGTCGTTTATTTAAATAAGAATGCTGCTTGGAACAGGGTAATACTGTGATCTCTTTGGTATTTATACTTTCCTTTCTTCATGTGTTTTCTTTCATCGTTGTGCAGGAAAAAGTGCAGTGAGAGTAGCTGTCAAAACACATGAAATACTGTTGACCAAAAAGCTAAATCCAGGGATGGATTAAAGCAGGAGCAGCCGGTAATAAATAAAAAGATAATGTAGGTTTTTTTCTTTTTGCATGGCATTATCATCACTTGGTTCCAAGCACAGTTTCCAGCTTTGAATTGTTCATACAGCATCTGCATTTGACATTCCTACAGGAGAAAGTACTACTTCTCTTAACAGAGGGCTCCAGTACTCATTTTGTAACTGGAGCTTAAGATCCTCTGTGCTACTGTTTTGCATGGGTACTGTACTTAAAGATTAATTTGAGTTGTTCTTACTTGAAGGAAAAGCATTTCTATATCTTGTTTGATGTTGAAGTCCTCTTGAAAGGACAGTGAACCACATGGTATGGTTTGACTCAGCTTGTTTCTTAAGGTGTGTGGGGTTTCTTTTAAGGTCTCCTGGAGAAATAGTTTTTTTCTATACAAGATGAAACCTTTTCCTGTGTAGCTGATTGTCTGTAACAACAACTGGGACTTACATATAGTGTTAAAATGCAGTTTTGATATTGTTCACATTCACCAGTATGTACTTTAGAAAACAAGCAAGTTCAATCTGTCTTTATAAGTGGTTTAGTTTGATTGGAGCAGCTACAGGAGAGTTCAGGTTAGAAATGTGCAGCTGAAGGGGATCCCCTGGGCACTTCAGTTCACACACTGTAGCCCTGCCTTGGAGTGCAGGAACTGGGTTGCTTTCAGGTGAAATGAAACTGGAAGATGCTCCCCAGGCACTGAGAGATGAGTGTACAGGACTGTGCTGGAGTTGGCTGTGACCTCCTGAGGGGCATCTGCCCTGTTGGTGTGCACTGCCTGCAGGCCTGAAGGTTCATGACCCCTCCTTCCGTGCACTAAAGCTGTTCCAGTTGTGTATGGAAAAATAGCGTGGGTGAGGGAAGGAGGGATTCTAAGTTGGTTATCACGGTACATAGTCTGTCCCAGAGAAAAGGGAAGAATTGTGGTGCCTGGAACTGTATGGAGATGGAGGGCACACAAAGTGACAACTTGCTGATAAAAATCTGGTGTCAGAGTATATCAGCTGTGTGGGGTTAAAGGAATCATCTACTCCAGCGTCGTCTTTTGTTTTAAGCCGTGTTTTTTGTAAAGATGTATTAAAGGAGTTTATACTTCTCTATTTTCTTGGAAACGTTTTAGGTATATTAAAATTCTATTTGACTGGAACTTAATTACATGTTTTTAAAAAATAAATTTTCAAAAAGTGCCCTCGGGATTTAAAGAAGCACTTGACCAATAGGTTTCAGCTTGAGTGTCCTACAAAGCCAGCAGAAATAACTTGACAGGAAGAAACACTTAGCTTACTATTCACAGTGCTTTATTCTCAAAACACTGACCTGATGCTCACCAGCTCTAATGTAAGGAGGACCAAGTGATGCTTTTGTAGACTCTTCACTGTACTCCACTGCTCTGTGGGCTTCTTGAGGAAGCAGTTCAAACCTGTGAATTGACTGTTAAAATACTCACGAGATGAGAACTGGGAAGGTGGGGTTTTGTTAGGCAGGTCTCATTAAACAGCAGTGTATACCTGCTTGAGCAACCAGGGCTTGTTTCTATTGTGCCTGCAGTGGGGTCATGCCTAAGTTTTACCCTGAAACTGTGTTCCTGATCTGCTTTGCAAAACTAGACTTCCATGTGAAAAGCTAAAGATGGGGTTCCCTGGCTTGGTCACCAAACCCTAGAATTTTGCTTTCTTACAGCAAATACTAGGGGTAGAAGTTGTCGGTGTTTCAAAACCTTATCTAAGGCAAGGGGAGACTGGAAGGGTGGGGAATCATGGCTAGGCTTCACGAACGAAGATTTAGGAAGGCTCTAAGAAGGGTGGGGAATAAAAAAAACCCTAAAAAACTAATATAAATGATTGACTGTGTGCTGGAGGGCTGAACACAGTGATAGCAGTTGCACACAGCTGTCTCGGTCCCATCAATCCTTCTCTTCCTACAAGCTTTGCATCAGACCAGTAAGATCTGCTGCTGTACCTGCACCAGCACTGGTCCTCCAAGCCCAGAACAGTACAGCTCAGATCCAGGCTGGCTCACTGTGTTCAGCACTGCCCCAGTGATGAGCTGATTGCAGGCCTCTGTGCCAGTATCATTCTGTGCTGGAGTTATGCTGATCTCATAGCTGAGAGGTGGGTGCTGTGATGCTCTGCTGTGCCAAGAACAGAAAAGAATTGATCTTGTGAGGTTCTTTGCTAAGGGCTGTTTGATGTTGTGCTGTGACAGGACTGGTATGTTGCATAAAAGTAACTAGAGAGCATAGGTGCTGAAATGAGAGTAGGTTCTCCTGCAGCCAAAGGTACAGACAGAACCTGAGAGCTGCTTTGCCTCAAAAATGGCATTCATAAGGATTTGGAGGAGAGTCAATGTCTGTAAGTGTCTCTTAAAGCTGTTCCTTCTGTGCCATTTGCAGAGACAAATATTTGTGAGGATGAAATTAGTGGGTGATAGGTAGGGGTTGTGTGATGCTGAATTATTTTAGGAATTTTTAAATGTTATATAAAGATGTCTGTGGTGTTTTATAGTGTAGTCAATGCCTTTCTTCTCCTGTGTGCTATTCCTGGCTAGTAAATCTCTGAACATCAAATAAAACCAGGAGGTAGTGTGGGCATTGGCTGTTCTGTACTGACAAGCAGCCTTACCCTGCCCTTCATGGGGCAGAGGGACACATGGTACCAGGACCTCTGCTCTTCTCCCTCTTTGCTAAGATTTGTTGTAGGAAAACTGGGGTGACCACCATAGTCTATGTTTGCTAGACTTCCTATTCCAAAGTTGCTGAAGCTGAGGCAGGGAAGCTCTAGGCTGCATAGGAGGTTGTTCCCTATTGCAGATCCCACTGAGCAATGCTGGGGCTGTGTTCAGGAGATCTGAAGACACTTTGGCATTTGAGAAGCAGCCCCTTGCATTGTAGGGAATCCAAAAGAATAATTCAGTACCCTACAAAAGAAATGCCTGCTCGGCTGTGGCACCGACATGAGCAGGTTTGAGTTATGTTCACAGTCAACAGTGAACAGAAAGGTAACTTAAAAATGAAGCATTGTGATGATTTGGAAGACAAAGTGCTCTCCTGGTTTCACTGTCTTCCCACAGCACTTCAAAATTCCGTAGCAGGAGTGGTTTCAGATTTCAACAGCTGGATTTTTTTTCTTACCTTATTTTTTTCAAATGGAGGTCACTGACAAGCCAGGATGCCACAGGCATCCTGAACTAGTCTGCTTTCCTAAGATGGGTGCATTTAATAATAGCTTGAATTATTGAGAAACTTAAATACTTTTAACAAGTGGTAATATCTGAGATCCAGTTCTTCTTTCTAGGGAAACATCAGCAGAACTCTAAAAACCTGTATGTTTAAATAAATATTGTGTACTTACTGTAACACAGGCTGTTATGATTGCCCTGCAAGATTGTAAATTGTCTTTTTACTTGGAAGATTATTTTTAGTAACATTGCAGTTTTTGAATCAGATCTGAAAGCAATCCAGTGAACAATAAACTATACAGGTCTGTCTCTTTTGGCATTGGCTGTAGAAGCAGTAAAGATGAAGACTTGCAGCCTCAAAAGCACCAGCTCCCTGGACTTCATGGAGCTGATTAGGAGGGACTTCTTTGGACCTGGAATTTTTGTGCTCTAATGCCCAGCCTTTGGCTCTGCCCCTGTAGGCTGACCAGACTGTGCCAAGAAATAGTTGGAAGGAATAAAAGAAAAAATAAAAAACCAACACCAATCAAAACCAGAACAAACCAACAATGAATCAACCAAAAAAAACTACAGTAAAACCAGTAAACATGGCAGTTAAGCCAGTGTAGCTGAGATTACAAGACCTATGTGTTACACATATTCAAAACTTGATAATGTTTTATTTTTACTCTGATACTGCTCCTTTTTATGTGATAAAGGTGCGGTGGTGATTTGGGGTTTTTTTCCCCACTACAGCATTTTCTAAGATTCTCCTTCCTGCCTCTTGCAACTAAAATCTTCTATTTCTTCTAAGTCTTGAATGTCTTTTTATGATACTGATTCTGAATGAGATTTTCTTTTGCTGCTCAACTCTGTTCCTTTTGATGTTCAGTTAGTCCTTGCTCTGGTTGGTCTAAATAAGACCTCCTTTTCTTCACTAGATTTTTCACCTTGGTGTTTGAATTCTTGTTAATCTGGGCCTATCTACTACCGAAATAAGCTGTTTTGACCTTGCCTGATTCTTGAGGCAGCTGAAATACTTCCATAGCTGTATGATGAAATAGAGCAGGACACGGATTTGTGTGAAAACTAAGTCATCAGAAAAAAATGTTACTTTTTAAGTATGTTATTTTTTTTTTCAGTATGATTTTCTTGCAAAGGCCAAAGCCAGAAGCTGGAAGGTGGTGTGCTGCTTCCAGATCTTTGGGTGGTTTGTAGGATGGTGTCCAGAGCTTGCAGTTGTCAACCCAGAAAGCCAAATGACACTGCATTTTTGCCTGTTGTTGGCATAAGCAAAGAGGGCGAGATTTCTGCTTTTAGTACTTCTTTTTTTCCTCAGCTGTCTTTGAAACTCTTTTAGTATGTGTTTAGAAGATAAAATTATTTGTTCATATAAATCATCAGAGGAGAAGTTAGAAACATACTGGTGAGGCAGAGACTGCTCAGATTGCTGCTAATAAATTCTGGGCATAAAAGTGACTTAAGTAGGAATGTAATATTGAAGATTAAGAGAAACCACTCTCTATGTTAGAATTGGTTCATAAACAACTAAAATAACTAATGCTTAGTTCTGACTTCTTGATTACTGACCTGTAGAGGATACATAGTTTTGTAGAATATATTTGTGTTTGGTCCTTTAAGGTCGTGAGGTTTTGGTTGGTGGTTTTTTTTTTTGTTTTTGTTTTTGGTGGTTTTTTTGGTCATTAGTGTTTCTGCTGGGAAGTGGAAGCAATGCTACATAAGAGCAGTGCTTTTTTTTTTCTGACAGCATTAGTGGCAGTATTTTGAATTTAGGAAGGATTATTATTTAATCACTTTAAAGTGCTTTGTTGAACTCATTATGCATATGCTCTGGGTTAGGTACTTGACTGTTTTGCAGAATGATCCTTCTGTGTATATGGAGAGGAGAATGCACAGAGTTCTTTGGGGCTTGAGTTTCTGTCCATGAAATACGTGATTCTTTATATATGCGGTCTTGAGTCTTTCTGGAAAAAAAAAACATTTTACAGAAGTAGAATTTCTTGCCATGGATGTTGGTGTTTTTGATTCAAGAATCTTGTTTTGAGGATAAGGTAGAAAATGTAGTGCATTAACTAGTCAGACCTTTATTTAAAGCTGGGTATGGAATTAGGAAATCTTGCGTTTACTGCCCTTGTTCCCTTAATGAGAAGTTCTTCAGTTTTACTCTGCTTATTTCAAAGGTGCAGCTCTCATTGGCTTTATCTTTAAAGATCCTGTGAGAGCTGTAAGATGAAAAATAGTTTTCTTGGACAGCAAACCAGTGATGATCAGCTGCTCCTTGTGCCTTCAGCTTCTCTGGTTGTGCCTGGGGAAATAGTACATATTTTATTTTGCAGGCAGTTGACCACACTGCAGTGAGATCAAACACAGTAGGAGCTGGAAGCTGAGCAAACATTTTCACAACGGGAAAACAGCAGAATCTCCAAATATCAGCGAAGACTCTTACTGTTTATTTTACAAAGAATACTCTTAAATTCGTTAGAGTTCAAATCAAGACTTGCAGTCTGGGAATAGTGTTTCCTTTGTAAATGTTTTGTTCCCCCATGTGCTTTTGCAACAATGTAACTCAAATGGTCTTTGCTGGAAAACACTTCTTGAACTCCAGCCTGGCTGTTCCCAAAAGCTGGACTCGCTGATGGCTGTTTTTACCAAGCAAAAGGGAGCAGTCTCACCTACATCTGCGAGTCCATAGAATTCATACAAAAATATTTTGGTAATTGTTCACTTAAATTGTTTTAAGGCAAGTGTTTTTAGGATAACACAAATCATCTTGTTGAGGTTTGGTGCAATTTTACCCTGAGAAACTTACTAACTTACTTTTATTCCAAAACAATGACCCTGTGTTTGCACTTTATTCTTGCCTTGGGCTGAGAGCAGATGTGGGAAGTTGCTGATGAGATGATGTATTTTGTTAAGTTGTGGTTGTGTGTGAGTGTGTCTGGTGTTTTATTGACAAATATCCATCTGATAAAACAATGCTGTTCCTTTGAGCTTTCAGGGCTGTTTAACCATAAAGCTGGAGCAGTCCTGCTGAAAGTTAGTTCTTTCCTTTGCCCCACTGGGGAGTTTTCTCTCTGTCTCCCTTACATTAATCTGAAGCTTGAAGAACTGGTTAAGGAGCTAAACTTGACCAAGAAAAGTTTGTTGTTGTATCTCCTTAGGATAACTCCTTATTCTGAAAAGAAACCCACCCAGCTTAGGCTGGTCAACTTAGCAGATACTGATTGTCTCATGTCTTTCTTTTCTACTTCCTTCTACTCCTTTAGAGCTCCAACATGTGTATTCTGTGACCACCTACACAGCCCACAGTGTTTACTAAAGGTTGGCAGTGGAATATGGCTGCTTAAAAAAGTAAAGGAAAACCTTGTCCTCTCAGGTTCTTGCACAGCTTGGCACAGTCAGCAGGTGGCTGCTGAGCCCAGTGCACAGGGGAGGAGAACACACTTCACCTGCAGGATGTGTTGCTCAGAGGTTATCCCAGCAAAAGTCAGGCTGTCTGAAATGATCCTCTCCATGCCTGCGTAGCTAGGATTCCTGATGGAGCACGGGAATGTCTCTGGTGCCAGATGATAGTGAGCCTGGGTAAATAACTGCTTGCTTACTGCAGGAATGGTTTGGAGAGTACAGTGTAATAGCAAGGCTGGTAGTTGTGTGAATATCTGGGACTTATAAGCTTTGCTTGTTTTAGGTGAGGCACCTTAAATCCTGCACCAGTTCCCTGTGAGCTGATCTTTTCTAAAATAGCTTCCCAACTCTGCAGCAAACCTCCTTTTAAGGGGAGGGTATGTGAATCACACCTGCTGCTGATGTGTGTTGGCCCTGCTTACCAGAGGGTCCGGAGTGCTTGCTTGGACTGATCCACCCACTTGCTGTTCCTTTGATCTGTAGGCTCAGTCAGCAATGACTTTAGGACCTCCAAAATTTCAAGCTGTTACACTGAGACAATTTAAACAGTGATTCAGTTCTGTCTTATGTGGGGTTTTTGCAGTCACTCCTTTTCTCAATTTATGGAAGAAAGGATGAAAGGGGGTTGGGTATATGCCAGAAGAAGCAGTGATATTAATCCTCTTGTACCTTTGTTTAACCATTGTTACTTTGGCAGCTGTGTTTCTGATTTCCAAATTTGACAGTTTCTTCTAATAAAATATTCACATGCTAAATCCAAATACTTCTTTTCCTGAATCACCTGTACAGCAGTTTTCATGGTAAGAGATGGCTATTAGAAAATTTCTTCCAGTGCTTGGCAGTGTGTGTGTTTTGTGAGTCTCCCATTGTAGTTGTAACTGTGTTTCACATCAGGTTGTGCATACATGGATTAGGTGTGTGTAGCCTGTAAATGATGCATTGCATCTGTTAATCAGGAATCTAATCTAATTTTTGGTGGGAAGAGAGATAAACGGCAAGTTGCAGTTGATTGCAGTTTGTTGCTAGAATAACTAATAAGTTTCTTTGTTTTCTGTAATAGGCTGGATGGAAGGAAAACCATGCAACGTTTATGAATGAATTGAAAAACCTTCAGGCTTCAGGACTAACAACCCTTGGTCAGGCACTCAGGTCCTCGTTTGACTTGTTAAATCTCAATAGATTAGTGTCTGGAATAGACAATTATGGACAGGTAACAAATCTGTTTATAGTCTTCTGTCTTCTGTTTTTCTGTGTTTTTTGAAATTATAGTGGGGGAAAGATTTTGGTGGTTCAAGTTCAGTTTGCATTTTACTTTTTTTAAATGTTGGATAGTTGTGTGTTAAAACTTCAACTGGGAACTTTTTTTCTTTTTTTATGGCTACTGAAAACACCCTGGAAAATACTTCCTTTTTGAAGAACAAAGAAGCAGAGTATAAATGCCCCAACTGTAGATACACAAGAGTAGCCCATCTTGCGCAGTTCCGTGTGGCTCAACACCTATTAAAAGAAATTACAGGGTTATTTTGAAAGATTGCTTATCTCACTGTTTATTTTGTAGTGACAAAAATACTGAGTGTTAATGTTACTCTTTGCATTCCTGTGCTTTTGTCTTTAGGGAAGGAATCCATTCTTTTTGGAGCCATCTATTTTGATTACCATCACAGACGGAAACAAACTGACAAATACAGCTGGAGTTCAAGAGGAGGTAAACTTGCATTAAGTTCTTTCAAGTTATGATCTTGCAAGTTGGTGCTAGGCTGAGATGAATATTGGTTTTTTCCCGCTAACAGTACTTCTGCATCATTGACCTGTTTTATAGAGAACAGAAACTGTTCTGTTGCTGCCCAGCCCCTAAATTCATAGTCCCATAGGGGTTTTGAGACTAGAACATCAGATAAATTAGGGGTATCAGAGAGAAATGGGGTGTTTTACAGAGAAATGAATGAATTTGGGTGTGATGTTTTAGATGGTTTGTCAAATACTGGAAAATATTCTTCAATCTTTTTTTTTTACCAGCTTCATCTTCCGTTGAATTCTCCTTTGCCTGGAAGTGAATTAACCAAAGAACCATTCCGTTGGGATCAAAGGCTGTTTGCTCTGGTGCTGCGTTTGCCAGGAGCTGCATCTGCTGAACCAGAGCAGCTTGGGAGTGTGCCTACTGATGAATCTGCTATCACACAGATGTGTGAAGTTACAGGAGGTAACTGCATGCTCTTTTGCTTTGGTTCCCATTTGGCATTTGCCTTGAAATATTTCTTTTCCTTTAATTCAGCTTCACCTCTTCCTCTTTTTCCATTTGATTTACTCAGTGCCCATATGAATCTGTGTGGTGCTTTCTTGGTTTCCAGTAACACAGGAGAACTTTAAAGCAATATTCCTATTTCAGATCTAGATGTGAAAACATTTTCTTAAGGCAGTAGCAGGGATAGGAAAATCTCTTGGATTGTCCTTCCAGAGGATGTCTTTGCTGCATCATGAGATTTTGATTTTTTTTCTTATTTAAGTGTCAAATTGAGTGGGATAGGTATTAATGAGATGTTAATTCTGCTGCAGGGCTAGTAAGCTAAATTTAATCCTAAAAGAATTATATCTGGAGTCTGTTGCTTGATATGTTGATCAGAATTTATTTTTTTTAATTGGTGCTTGAAAAAGATGATGTGTGGGAGAGGGAGGTTCGGGTATGCATAGAAGCTGGTAAGGTTAGGGTAGAGTAAAGCAGATTGATTGCATAGACTTGGTGAAATCAGGCTGTCTTAAGGGCTTTGTAAAGTTGGCCTTGGTCCAGCCTGATATAGCCCTAGGGGCCTCTTTTAGTAACGAGTTAAATCTCAGCAGGTTGTGGGTTTTTGGTATTTTTTTCTTAGTTGTATTACATTTTAGAAGTATTTTGCCTTTTACATAAGCTTGTACAGTTTGTTGCTATTATTTTGGAATAAATTGCAAGCCTTGGCACTGTGGCTTAGGTAAGAACATCTTCCTAAATTAAGATTACTTAAAACCTGCTTATGTATTTCCCCATGTAATTTCTCTCTTGCAGGTCGTTCGTACTGTGTTCGGACACAAAGAATGTTGAATCAATGTTTAGAATCTTTAGTTCAAAAAGTCCAAAGTGGAGTTGTTATTAACTTTGAAAAGTCAGGACCAGATCCAGCTCCTATTGGAGAAGGTACACTGACTGTGTTTTTTTCCTTTAATGTTTCAGAAGAAATGCTTTGTTTGTATGTAAATGCCCTTTAGTGTCTTTGGTGTCCTTCCTGCCAACTTTTCCCTGTAGTGAACAGGATGCATCAGATGCCTGATACTCTCTAAAAAAAGAGGTTAAGGTATAAAGCTTTTATGCTTCAGTGAGAGTGCTCTGGTATCTCTTTAAATAGCCCGGATCATAATGGATATCCTGATTACAGCTTTTGGGTAGTTTTCTGTTTATTTATGTTTAATTTTGTTTTAGTTAAATTTTTACAAGTGTTAGTTTGATCTTTGGCAAGTTAAATGGTGCCATATGTCTGCACATGTTTTTATGGATCATCTGGAGAGCCACTGGCTGGCTCTCCTGTCACCTTTTTTGGGGGTCTAAGGAAAGTGTTTGCAGGAAGTGGTTAAGTTTGAATTACAGTGTTGTCAAAACTGTATTTAAAATAATTAAATCTAGCACTAGTGTATTTAAACACTTAAACATCTCTAAAGCAATCTTAATGCTCAATTTTCTCTACATTTCCATTCTGCTAATTGATCACAGCACAGTAACTTGAATGTTCTTAACTGTAAGTGAAAAACTGCGTGCAAAGAACAAGGAATTATTTTGCTACTGGTAACAGGGAGGAGGAAGGTGCACTCTTAAAGTGGAGCAGTTCCTTAGATTTGCAGAAATTCATGGCTGAAAGGAAAGGGAGAGAGCTGACCAGTTCATATTTAGGAAATTAGGATGGTCCTGGAATATCAAAAATGCTTTTAGCATCACCTGGATATTCTGGCACAGCCAGCTTTATTCCTGCTTTCATTTTGGAATCACCTTTCTCTATATTTGTTTTTTTCTTTTGCTTATTTAAATGTCATTTTATTGGGAGGCTTTCCTGTAACGCTGTGCAGGACAACACGGCGGCAAATTCCTGTGTCTCTGTTGGCCCAAATGCTCTCTTCATGTGGCAAAAAAACTGGTGAAATGTGGGATTTGTTTGCTTTATTTTTGTCCCATTTGAGTGGTGATGCACTGTGGAATAGGAACGTATAAAAACATCAAGACTTTTCATCTCTGTGAGAATTGGGAAAGTCCTAAACTACAGAGAAATACAATAGGATTTACCAAAGCTATAAAAATCATTGTGTTTGTAATGCAGAGAAACCAAACTGATGTGTCCCTGTCCCTGAAACATGGTTTCCATAGTATTATTTGCCAGCTCTCTAAAGCAAGGAAAACTAGTACTGTAAAATCTTTTTAAAATGAAGAAGATTGTTTAAGTGGGTGATCTCTGCTGTGCTGTTTGCTTTGATGAGCAGTCTTCGAAAACTAATAATCACATTCTGTACTGCTGCAAAATTCCTTGTCCTCAGCATGAAGTGCACTGCAGTGGACTGGCAGGGAACACTGGTCTTTCCAGTAGGCTTTGGAGTTTAGGTGATCTGTGAATTGTTATTAATTAAAAATATGACAAAAGCTGTTCCTGCAAGATGGCATCCAGCTTCTCCATGAAACTTTCCTCCTCTTTCAGCTTCCACTAATGGCAGCATCAGTCAGTGAGCTTTGCAGCCCATGTAGAAAGACTAAATGCAAATTCTCAGCCTTTTTGGTTGCAGCAGAACTAAAAGCAGTAACTTGCTACTGCCTATCAGATCTGTGTCAGACACTGGGCTTAAGCAAATGCATTTTCCTTAATGTATGAGTGTGTCTTGCTGCACTCACTGTCTGATGGCTGGGCCTTCGGAGCAGAAGGGTAGATCTGGGCAAATGTTACCATTGTTTCTCAGATGATTCTGTCATACCCCTGGATGTGTAGGTTATTTTAGCCTCTGATGTAAAGATCTGTATGTCTTTGAAAGAGTAATGAAACGCCTTATTGGCTGCTAATATGGAAATTGTGCTAGCAGACAAATGCATGCATGTAGCTTTTCATTTTCCTTTTGTTTGTTATTTTGCTTTCTTTAAATTTTAGATGGACTTGTTGATTCATCCAGGCCCATCAATTCATTTGCTTCTCAGCCGTGGCATAGTTGTCATAAACTCATTTATGTACGGCCTAACCCTAAAACGGGGGTTCCTGTGGGGCATTGGCCAATCCCAGAATCTTTTTGGCCTGATCAGAATTCACCAACACTGGTAAGTAAAGCAAGAACTGAAAAAAAGGATTCTGCACTAGTAATTGAACAGGCTGAAAATGGATACTGCAGTAGTTTTTACTTTCTCTGTTTACTCATATGATGTGACTTTGCTTTAAAAGGTTAAAACTGGTTTTAGCACAAAATGGTGTAATCTGATGAGGATACTGTAACCTGTGATGCTTCTTCCATCTGGAATGTATGTGATTAGTTAATTTGGTGAATGGTTTCTAAAGGTTATAAAATTTAACTGTAAGTTAATTCACGTACCACAAATCATAGTGAGCCTATTAAATTTTAATCAAAGCTCTATAACATGCACTTATGTGGAAAAAGGAGTATTTGCTTTTGAAATAAGATCAACCATGTTTTCTCTGCTTAGTATTGCTTCATGTGTGGACTCTTCTTTCGCTAGCAGGAAGAATTAAAACTGAAACAGAAGAGCTACTCCCTTCAGAAAATGAGGAGAAAACAGTATTCATTTCTCCTTTTCTTGATGAAATGGTCATACAATTGGCATGCCTTGCTAGTCTTTCTAAGCATCTCTTGTTAGGCATGTTCTGTTCCTGCACTTTGTAAGTGCTTGAGGTACGCTCTGTCCATTCCCCCTCCTCTTGCCTCCTGAATCAAGAGGAAAAAAAAATCAGATTTATAGGGAATATCTTGAGATATCCCTTGTGAATTGAGTGCAGTTTCACATCTGTAATTCTATGAACATCAAGCTGGGAAGCAGAGGTGCAGTTTTCTTTAAACGTGTCTGTGTTATTATAGCTTGATTGACATGAAGGCTTTTAAATATCGAGGTAAATAGTGGAATATTAACCACGTTTTTCTTTTAGTGGGAAGAATGTTTGTATCAGTGTGTAAGCTTTTTTTTTTTCGATTAGAGAAATATTTAGTTATTCTATTGTGGGAGCTTGTATTCGATTCTCTTTTAAAGAAAACTGTGGAAAGTTGAGAGTTTTAGCCATACAGGATGCTAAAGTGATAGTTGATACGCTTCTCTCCCTTCTTTTCAGCCTCCACGCACAGCTCACCCCGTGGTGAGGTTCTCCTGTGTGGATTGTGAGCCCATGGTAATAGACAAACTTCCTTTTGACAAGTATGAGCTTGAGCCTTCTCCTCTCACACAGTACATCTTGGAACGAAAGTCTCCCCATACCTGCTGGCAGGTACTTGCCCTTTATTTGATTCTAGAAATGTAATCAGTGATCTGAGGTACTTTGGTCGCTGTAAGCCTGGAGAATTGGGGTCTCGTTGCAGACTCTGCAGCTCATGAGAAGAAACATGTCAAGGTTTCACTTACCTCCTTTCTAAGAGAATTATCAGGAGTCAGAATGAGTGTTCCCTCCACAGGCTTTGTAATCTCATTTAATTCACTTTCTAGGTCCATCTCATTTTGCTAAGAAATGTGTCCCTCAGGTTCCATTTTTTGCTAAATTGAAATTCTCTGTAGGCTTTCATTTGCTTACAGGGAAAACCAAGCACTGGTTTCCATCATGTTACCTCATCAACAGCTGCAAATAATTTTCACTAGATGGTTGAAGCTGCTGATGGGAATTGAATGGAAGCTGTTGATCCTGTTGACTGGTTTGGCCTTGGAGAGGTCAAAGTTCTGTTGCTAAAATCCTTTCTTACGTGCTCCTTTTGTAGTTTTTTATAAGTTTCTGCATGCTCTGTAAAATAAGGCTTGTAACTCCCTTCTCAGTGATGTTCTTGTAAATAACAGCTTAATGTGTACATCAGAAGTTTTAGTATGATATTTTAGCTGGAAAGATGCGTTTGAAGATGTCTCTGTTTTTGTTTCCCTAATAAATACTACAGTTTAACTGAAAATATAACACGCATATTTAGAAGAAAAATTCAATTTACTTTTAATAAACTAATTTAAAAAATGTCCTTTAAACATTCCTAGGTACCTTATTTGCCTGAGTTTCTAAAATTATTCTCCTGGTTTTCAAAAACTGCTTTTCTTCTCCAAGCTACACATCAGACCCCTACAGATTAGAGAAATAGGCTCATTGTCATAGAAACCATATAACAAACCCAGTTCCTTATGCCCTGAAAAAACAGGAAAAATACTTGCTATGTACTGCAGGGTTTATTTTTTTCTAGGAAGGCTATTTTTGCATTAGATGTGGGTTATTTTGCCTGTCTCAGTTAAGAATATGTACCATCTTTATCCCGTTGAAAGAGTTGTTTACATACATTGCTTTTCAGGGTTAATACCCTCATATGTGTGCACTTAAAAAAATGAAGTCAATCTTAAGATTGTTGGCACTGGGCATAATCAAGACATTTCTCGAATGTTTGCTTGTTTTGCTTAATTTCTATGCTTAAATTTCTTTTATCAATGTTATTAATTTTAGTTATGCTATTTTGTGAGTCAGAAGACTAATTCCAAGTAGCTTGTTCTTTTAACATACCTTCAACAAATGTCCCCTGACCTATTATAAATAATATCAAAAACTCTTCAGGGTGTCATTTCACAGTTGTTTTACTAAAGCACTAAAGATGACTCTGAAGAGCATTTCCACACTGACTGGGGGTACACTGAACCTTGCATGCCTCAGTTTTGTGACTGGGGAATATAAGTGCACTGTCACCCTGATGTGTGCAACCTCAGGACTTGGCTGTTCTTGGTAATTTACTGTCTTAATACACTTGGATTTGGATTGGTTTGAATTTTTAAATGCTCCATGCTTAATATTCTTCATGTTCTTCTAATACTGTGATCTCTCTTATTCCTTGTCAGGTATTTGTGAGTAGCAGTGGAAAATACAGCGAACTTGGCCACCCATTTGGGTATTTAAAAGCAAGCACTACTTTAACCTGTGTAAACCTCTTTGTGATGCCTTACAACTACCCTGTGTTACTTCCATTGTTGGGTAGGTAACGAATTTGCCTCGGACTGCCAATGCAGCTGCTTCAGAGTAAAAGCAAAACAATAATGGTTGGTCTGCCTTAGTTTGAGACGTTATAAAATAATGGAGATCAGAGAGTAGAGAATGTTGCAAAGTCTTTTAACGTACTTTGGGAGGAGAGGATTTTCATACCCCCTCTCCCTTTTTTTCTCTCCAGCAGAGGAGGAGAGCTACCTGCTTCCAGTGCATGTTTGATGCTGTTCACCTGCTAGACACGTAGCCTCTTCCTTAACCTGGAGTAAGCTTCAACCTCCATTCTTTTCCCTCGTTTAGGGTGTGGTGTATCCAGGTTTTACAGTTGCTCTTGTAGCAGCTTATTTTTTACTGGAAGATCAGATGCAGTGTTTGCCACGGGTGTTGGGAAGAGGGAATTCCCTAATGCAGTTTAGAGCACTAAGAAGGAACTGAGCAGTGAAACAGTCTGCATTTCTTCCCTGCCCTAAGGAAACCAGGTTTGTTTTTTTTTTGCCACCGCAGTAATTGTGGCTGTTAGGGATGTGGCATAAAAGTAGTGGCAGAGAGGAGTTTCCAGGTGCCACCAGCCCTTTTAGTTGCAGGTGCTCTAAGGCTTTTTTGTTCTAATTTTTGTGCAGGTATTTAGTGATGCAGAATAACAGTGATCAAGAGAATTAACATTGAGTCTTACCGTCTTACTCAAGATTTTTCCATTCATTTCTAGGAAAAAAACACCCCAGAACACAGTTCAGGAATGTTTTTTCATAATCCTGGTCATAACCAAAAAAGAAGAAATTTGTGCTTGCTGATAATGTGTCTTTTATAGTTATCTGTGTAGCCTGATAATTGTCGCAGTGTGCAAGGATACTTCTAGATTAAAATGGAGTTTCTGCAAGTTTGTGGCTCCTGAAATACTGCAGCAGATCCACTAGCTGAAAAGCCATCACTGATCCTAAATTAATTTCTCTGCTCATTTTGATGTTGACATTTGCAGTTCTGCTGTGTCTTCCCTGCCAGCTCTTGTCTTCCCCCTGCCTTTTTTGCAGGGGTGTAAAGCTCTTCCCACTCTTTGGAGAAAAACACTTTTCAGTGTGTGTAGAGCTATCCTGCCGTTTACTCACCTGGTAATCTCACATCTTAAATTTCTGAAGGCTGTTTAAAAGGAAAATGCAGAGCTTCTGCATTGCCGGAGTTGTATAGTGGATGTTTTCTTCAGAGCACAAACCCTGTGCATTCCACATTGTTAACACAAACACATACACAATGTTACCTTCAGATCTCCTTCTAGGACTTTGGTTATCCTCGGTCTCTAAGGCACGGTGGAATTAAGTTCTGTGGAATATACTTACAACATGAAAGCAGATCTGGGCCTTTTCTACTTAGCAGTACAGAAAATGACTGAGATGATAAGGGCATAACTGGTAAATGTAGATGTTTTTAATAATACTGACTTGGGTTTGTCTCTTAAGATAAGTAGGGATTGTTTCTGTTGTTTCAGGCACACTCCCCCTGTGTCTGTCTCAATACATACCAATACTGGATACTGATGGTTCAGCAGAGGACTGATTGAGTGTGTAAAACCAATTTTTCATTACTCTCACCCAGATTAAAAAGGACATGAGAACTCCCAAGACCAGAAGTCTGTTCCATTCAGCCACTACCACCCATACTGACGCATCAGTGTGTTCCTAGTGGCTCCTGCCCTGCTGGTAGAATGTTGTGTTGGAGAACTGGGACTTAGTTTGGGGTAGTGCTGTGGATAATATCTCTCTGCTCCTTCTCCGACTCTGTCAAAGACAGAACCATTTTACAACTGAATATTTGTACTGTCAAGTGACTTATGTGTGTACAATCTTATAAACAGAGATAGATAGTAAGATGCTTAAGAATTTTTTTCCTTGTGTTTTTCCTCCTACATTCTTGAGCAGGGAAAGTTTTAGTTCTGTTTTAGGAAAAATAACAGAAGAGAAGGCCCTAAAAGACAGGTAAGGTAGGTGGGGATGAGGAAGCTTGCGGGTGATACTTGAGCAAACTGAAGCAAGCTTTGCTGGTTTTATGTCTTGGTTTCTGCAAGAATGGATTTGGGAATGCTGTCGCCTCTCCTGGCTTGTAACTTAAAGGGACTGCTTTTAGAATCTGAAGCTTTGTAAGGAAAGGATCCAGTTAATAGGACTCGATAAAGAAGTGAAGCTGCACAGCCATGTGTTAACCTGACTCAAGCCTTCATGTAATAATGGGTTGTCTCGCAGAAATGCTGCTCTCTGGTCCATTCCCAGCAGTGACAGACCATGTGGGATGTGCTATTGCAGCTGAGCAGCTCCCTTGTGCTGTCCTAAGGCTGGAGAGGAGTCACGAGTAGCTTGGTGGGGATTTGCTCCCAGGCCTGAGGAGGTGGGGTGCAGTTCTTTGTGCAGGGTAAGGCAGCTGCTGAAGGCAGAACTTTTCACAGAGAGATGCTGATGTGCTTTGATGCTGAGTGCTTGGCCCACAGATTATAGAAACTCCTCTTGGAGGATTGTTGCCTGTAATTGATACAAACAAAGCTGTTGTACTTCAGGTTTTGTTCTGCTTAATTGTACAGCCAAATTCATAAAGTAGAAAGTTGAAGGAGGGGCTTGAGGGAGAGCTAAGCAAAGATGAGGTGTATTTCTAAATGCTTCTGCCTTGCCTAAGATGTTTCCTTGGCTGCTTTTAGCTGCATTGGTGGGAGGGCAGGCACTGCTGGGCAATAGGAGTGACTGTTCTTTGGGAGTGCCAGCAGAAGCAGCCGTGAACAGCCATTATGAAATAGCATCAGAAGATGGTTAATACCCTTTCTCTGTGGGTCTAAATATGCAGGAGGATGAGCTTTTAAAAAATGTCTGCCTGTGAAGGGCTGCAACGTGGACAGTTTCCTTTGATGTTTTTACAGGCTCTGTGAGAGAACCTGTGAGTAATGATTTTATATTTTGGAAGAGAAGGGCTGTGTTTCTCACCAGCATGAACACAGCATGCTGTGGTGCTGGGAGGGAGAGCTGAACATTTTGTATCAGTGGAGAAAGAGTGCCACAATACCTTTCTTGTTTTCCATTGCAGTGCCTTATTTTTGGCTTGGTGGTTTGCAGGGAAGGATCCTGCTTTCTGTGAATGTAAAATCCTGAGTCTCTACTGCTTAGAGCAGTGGAGTGTATCTATTAGTGCATAATTAGGAGAATTACAGGAGTCAACAGGGTATGGTGGTGTACTTGTTCTGGTGGAATTCAATATGAGTGGTAATTTAAAAAAAAAAAGGGTCAAGTTTTACTTTGAGTTATATGATGCGTGAACTGTTCTTATAATTTAGGCTCCAGCTGAACTACTGAAATTACCTGCTGACTCTTCTCCCTCTCATGCTATTTTTTTTTAACTGTTCACTGATCTTAAAGGTGCATCCAGTCCCCTTCTGTAGTGCTGGATGTTAAAGGTCTGTATTGCTGTCCTGTTTGTCACCATTCCATTGTTTCGTACGTTAATCTGAAGTGGATAAAGACTTTGCAACATAGTTTTCAGTTTACTGGTGTGTGATTTTACCTGATCTCTTGAGTTGTTGCAGCTTGTGGCCCTTCCCTAGTGGTTTTTAATACCATGTTCCTGATTATCCATTGCTTTTAGCTCCCTCTGAGTTCAGAAGTAAAAAATTCTGCATTTTAAGTGGACAATACAGAAAGTAGTATCTGAAAATTATTAGGTTGGAATAAAACAAAGTTATTTAAGGATTTTTTCCAATACTTTATACTTTTTTTCTGCAAAAGACATAGTTAACTTGGTTACTGTTAGTTTGCTTATTTATATAAATGAAACTTGTGGCTGTTTACCATCGTGACTGTCACCCTTCCCAGGGTAGGAGTTCCTGCTGTGGGGAGACTAATTTTAAATAGACAAATCTTTATGGGAGCTCTACATAGATTGGAGAACTTCCTTCTTGGGTAGCAGAGATCGGGGAGGTTTGATGTTTGATGTCTGGGAGTACAGCTGAGCATGAGGGTGGTGCCTGTGCAGTTACTGGTACAACCTCACAGAGCAGGAAGTGAGACAGTAATAAAGTGCTGATAAAGGGGTTAAGGTTCAAGCTGTACTCACAATCAACTCATAGACTGTAAAATGTTAGGACCTACTGTAATACTGATCATTTTACATTTTAATTTTTCTTTCATTTTGAATTTTTGGAGGGGATGTAGTTTAATTTGCATTTTGCTGCAAAAAGGTAATAGGCCTGTAAGATAAGAATGGATGTTATTTTATATTTGCCGTATGTCATGATACCATCACAGGTTCTTTTGGGTAGTAGTGCTAAGCTTGTGGTATATTGAGATCTTAAATGGAATTCTGAGTTGTCCTCTCAAACTCCACCCCACTTCCTTCAGGTCTGGGAAGTACAAATAGGATCTGTAGTGTGGTTTTTGTATGTGATTCAGAATTCATTTAGATTGGAAAATACCTGTAATGCAGTGTGGTTTGACTGTGAGAACTTGGGAAATAGTGCTGTACTATCTGTTTGATTTGTGCAGAATACTATGCCAGTCAAATTTTCTTCTACAAATATATCTTCCTGAAAGCTCACTCTGGAGAAAACAATTCCCTTGCTGCATCTGTCTTTTGTGCACTCTTCTGTGCATCTCTGTCTCCTGCAGCTCTCCCCAGTTAATTTTTGAACATTCTTTTCTCCAGTCCTGCATATCCTTCCATTAGCCCCAGTTTTCCAGCATACTACCCTACTAAAAAACCCCTTTATTTCAATTCATAATTTCAAATGATAAATTGCAAGATACTGTGTTTGGTTTTGATTTTTAGAGATCACTGTTGCAGTACATAGTGTGCACAGCAAATAGGTGGTCAGTGATTCCTCAATGGCAATATACACACCTCTGGTGTGAGCACGGTGTTTCTAAAACAGTATCCAGGGGAAATAAGTGTCTGGTTGCCCCTTTTGTAAAGGCCAGCAGTTTCTGTAGGTAATTACTGTCTCTTGTGTATACTGTGGGAGACTTTGCTGCCCTGGCATGAGGCAGGTGGTGTGGCTGGAGGAGACCCCTTCTCTGCCAGGGCACAGCTGCTGCTGTTGGCAGCAGAGTCCAGCAAAGCTGGCCAGAGGGATTCCCTGATTTGATATTTTGTTTTCCCCTTTCCCTTTGATGCCAAACAATATCTTTACTGGAGACCAAAATTCATCATACAGGTTGAACAGCAGAAAGCTGGTCTGACAATGAAAATTAAACCAAATTAATGTTGTTTGGTTTAATCAGATACAGGGACTCCTTTGATGCAAGAGAGAGGCAGGGAAGGTGAAAATCTTAACAGGTGGATCTGTTGCACCTTCCGTGCTGGTGGTTGTGTGCAGTGTTTAAGTCTGATGTACCTTGTAAGTTTGCTTATAATGGGGACTTGCTTTGGACTGCCTACTGCAGCTAGGGTGGGGATTCCCAATCCTTCACACCTATGGTTAAGAGCAGTTTTTGTGGGAAAGCCCCATTGGGAGATGGGTGGAGGGAGAGAAAAGGGGGGAAACGTGGCACATGCAATTTTGGAGAAAGCTTATGGTCTGGGACTGTATAAATGACACCTTCTTTTGTTGTTTTCCTTGTTGCAGATGACTTGTTTAAGGTTCACAAACTTAAGCCAAATCTGAAGTGGCGACAGGCTTTTGACAACTACTTAAAAACAATGCCTCCTTACTACTTACTGGTATGTTCCTCTTCTCATTTCATCCTCCCGGGTATAATGGCTGGTGTGACCAGAGTCCTGTGCATCATACCTCTTCCTAGTAAATTTTTTACGTAATTATAATGACATTTTTAGGTAGTAAATATTTTGCTTTGCAGAGGTATGTAGATTAGGTCAAACATTTTTAAGAAGTAAATAAATTTGTAGAAATACTGAGTAATAGTAATTATGTTAAGATATTAAATGTGTTTCCTCTTCATTAAATATTAAATGAGCTCTTATCAAAAGTACTTTAGATTGTTGAGGGAACCCAAATTTGGCATTATTTTTGTAGCTTGATGAGGAAAATGCAGATTAGTTTGTTTATTAATGTGGGTGAACTGCTAGAACTTGGGAAGCTGGGCCAAATAAGGGGTGGGGGGAGGCACTGTGTCACCTTTTACGTGTAGCTTGGACAATGCACCTCAATATGGACTTGCATCATCCCGGCTATTCTGGACCTGAGCCTTTGAGTGGAAATTGCCAGCGGCACCACGGTGTGTGGTGTCTTGGTGATGTGGCATAACGTCCATTGTGAGCTAGTTAGACACCAAACTCATGTCACATGTTATCTGAATAGACTTGAATTTTAGTGGCCAAAAGTGGAAAAGCTAGAGCACTAATCTGTGTGCCTTAGCTTCCTATAATTGATCTTATAAATTTCTTTTTTAAATACTTATTCTCTTACTATTGTGTATTTTGTTTTCCTTATAGCCATTAAAGAAAGCCCTAAGGATGATGGGAGCTCCAAATCTGATATCAGATAATTTAGATTGTGGACTTAGTTACAGTGTTATCTCTTACCTTAAAAAACTCAGCCAACAGGTAGTATTGATAAAACCTTTGCAATTAGAAGTGCGTTGATTATTTAGTTTGTGGTAATCTGATTATAAAGCAGCTAATCCCTGTGGGAGTTCATATGGGTGTGCAGCATATATTGTAATTGAAGATTGGTGAGCATTTCCACTGAAAATATGGATGAATCCAGTGTGGTTCTGTAGCCAGTGTGTGCCTTCTGTAAGCAGTGGAGGGGAGTGCAATGAGGACCTCCTCAGCTATACTTTGAGTATCTGCTAGACTTTAAACTTCATAGAAAATCACTAATTGGATTTGTGGCTGCTCTTGCTGTTGTTCTTCACAGCTGAAGTCAGAGGCTTGCTCTCTGCCTCGTGTTTATTTCCATGTGTTCCTTGGCAGTGTGCATTTTCCAAAAAAATTGTGCCTTCTTGTCCATGGAGAATAAAATCATAGTTCAGGCTTTCTATCTGACCTTCCTGTTTCCATCAGGTCAAATCCATTCTATGTTTAAAGTGTGACCTGGTGGGAAATAGTCTTTTTATCTTTGTCGAGACTGCCATTCCAGGTGTAACTGCCTGGAAGCCCTTCTTCCTTAACATGAGGGGCTCTTAAAGCAGTATTTTAATGTCTAGAAGTCAGTGAGGAACAAGTGCAGCCTTTAAAATTACAAAGAAAAAATCCTCCGCCTTAAAGAATGCACAAAATATATCCCAAAGCCTCTGAGTGACTGAGCATCTACTAGACTTAATAAAACTTCCTGTGGTATTTTGGTAACTTAATGATATGCAAATTCATATTATTTATCTGTACTGTGGAGTTGGAATGACTCGAGATGGCTGCTGTGGCTTTCACAGGCATTCTCAGCACATGGAACAGTTTGAATGTGTTGAATGCATTATAAGCTCCTGTATAGGGACAGGCAATTCCAGACTTCTGCTGTGCTCCTGCTGTCCGTAAATTCAGAGTTTCCCCACAGATAATGAAGCAAACGGTGCAGAGGAGGAGATCTGGGGGAAGTGGGTTGCAATCACCGTGGGTTTGGGGGTTTTGGTTGGTTGGGGTTTTTTTCTGGAGGTATTGCAAGTGGGTGAAAAAAATAGTCTTACTTTGAATACAGTTAGAGCTTAATACAGTAAAATTCTCTGTAGCTATAATAAGAAATCTGTGCCCATTAGAGAAGTGATATGTTTTTAGAAGCTTACTCATAAAGCAAAATTCTTTTATAACTTTTCTCCCTTATGTTGTTGCAAACATACAGGGCAACCCTTATTACACAGGTTGTTTAAAAAATAAACTGAAATTTTGTTACTGTATCTGAACAATACTGTTGTTTTAGATGCAACTTTACTGTAACTGAAGGCATCCTACATTCCATTATGTTTTTTCTTTCCCTTTAAAGATGATTCTTCAGAGACACAAAAGAGTCACAGTCTTGCAGCAAAAGCAGGGATTTTCACAGGCCTCCTACTGGCATATAAATTTAGATACACTGGCTAAATATTTTTCCAAATGCTAGCACGTTAGGATTTCTTTATGCTTGAGATCTAATCTATGTAATCCAGTATATCCCTGGGTAGGTAGTTGGGAACTAAATTTGTAGTTTTATTCTGCTAATGTACTGTGTGTTTCGTACTGGAAATGTGCAATGCCTGCTGATTCTTTAACTCATGGTGTGATTCCATTTTAGACAAAAGTAGAATCGGAACGGATAATAGGTTCAGTGGGTAAGAAAGTTCCACAAGAAATTGGAATAAAAGTGAAAAATCACTCCAGTGGCCTCTCCTTGGTACACAGTAGGGACTTTAAGCAACTGCTGCAAGGGATCACTGGGGAATCTCCACTGAGACTGGCGGAAATGAATGTTAAAGAATTTGCTGGCTTCCACATAGGACTTTTAAACAAGGTAAACAGCACAGTAATCTTGCATGACTAAGCAGTTAATCTTATCTGTTTTAAATGGGTAACTTCTATGGACTTGGTGTAGAAGGAAGTACTTTACTGAACTGTGAAAAGTGCAGCATAGACATAAATAGGGAGATGAGTAAATGCAATTTTTGTGCTTGATTTTGCGACACTGTTTGAAAATCCATGATAGTAAACAAAGATTACTGTGTTCTAAGTGCCAGTATTTGCAAAGACAGCTAGTGTTGTTCATCCAGGAATTAACGTGCTTAGTCTTAATGGAGCTGAAATTTCAAACTAATGCTGAATAAGGTCTTGTTGAAAAGACAACCACTGAGCTTGCTGTATCCAGTTATGAAGCTCTGAAGTTACTTAAGGGTATTTTTTAATAGTTAACATTATTACAGTTCATAATGGAATTTCTCCATGCATGAGAACTAATGGATTAACTGAAAGTTACTTGTTTTGTTATAAAACTAGGATTTGAAGCCACAGGCCTTCAGAAATGCATATGATATTCCTCGTCGCAGTCTTCTGGACCAGCTAACCAGAATGAGAACCAATCTTCTGAAAACACACAGGCTTATCTTGGGGCAGGATGAAGGTAAGGAGTTAACAGTTCTTCTTTAATAGGTTGGAGAGAGTACAGCTGGTTTGTTTGTTTTTTTTTTAATTTCCTTGAATAATGTTTTTTGTCTTTGGTGTGGGAGCAGAGGTGGCCATTGCATCTCTTGCTGAGTCAGTCTCCTTCGCCTGGCTCTGAAGGGGAAGGAAGGACATTTTTGCCTTCTGTCATGCAAGATGTCATGCTTGCTCTGAAGTTTAAAAATAAGTTTTATGGGAGAGCTTTCCCATTCACCAAGATTCATGTTCTATGTAGTGATGGGGGCTTAAAGCAGGGAGGATCTCACTTTGCTGATGGTCTAAAGATGCAGTTGTCAGCATAGAGATCAAACCTACTTATTTTTCCTTTCTTCTTCTGCCAATTAAGCTCAGCTCTTGCCAGCCTTATTTCCACAGTTGTAGTCTTTAGCTCTTCCTCTGTAATGAAAACAAATAGTCATTTCTAGTTCTTAAATGCTAACACTTGCAATTGAAGGGTGTGAAGTTTGTATTGCCTTATTTTAAGGTAGACTAAATGAAGAGCTCTTGTTCTGTTGCAGACTGCCTTCATAGTGTTCCTGTTGCTCAGATGGGAAATTACCAGGAATACCTGAAAATGATGCCTTCACCTCTTCGGGAAATTGACCCGGATCAACCAAAAAGACTTCACACCTTTGGCAATCCATTCAAACAGGACAAGAAGGTAGGAGGGGCCGTGCTCTCTGCTGTGTCTTTATATTTGACATGGCTTGAAATAATTTGTGGGTAGAATTTCTCCCCCACAATGACAATATATTGCTGACCTGTTCAGCCTTTTGTTGTGTGGGAAGGAGGGATGTCTTCCACATGGTCCTAGAGAAACATGTCCTGCATCGTGCTGGTTTATAGAGTGGCCCTGGGTTGTCTCTGGTTACACTGGGTATCTCTGTTCTGAGAGCTGTCAGGTCTTTTGAAACCCATTTGAATTTGAGCACAGAGGGACTCAGTTCATCAGTGAATTAATGAAACAGATCCTATCCTGTACTGTTATTTAAATTATTTTTTTTTTCAGGGTATGATGATTGACGAAGCCGATGAATTTGTTGCTGGGCCTCAGAACAAGATCAAGCGTCCTGGAGAGCCCAACACTCCAGCATCACTGAAGAGGAGGAGGAGCATGTCCCCACTGCTGAGACGGCCACAGTCACCGCCCGTGGTCACCAACCATGTGGGTGGGAAGGGGCCACCAGCTGCTCCTGGATCCCCCTCGTACCTAAACCTCAAAGGTGTGCCAGGAAATAAAGGTATATTAGGCTGTAGTGCAGCAGCTTGTTTGGTGGGAATATCTGGAGAGGAAGGGAAAAGGATCCTTCAGCATGTGCCTGTCCTTCGGTGTTAGGTAGGAATGAGTTTCTTTTGTTGGCCCAGATAAACAGGCTGCTGCTAGAGCTAATGAAATCTGAAATTAAAAAAAAACCAATCTGGAGGTAGAAAGTGTCTCAGCTCAGTTTTTAGTTCTTGTTTGTGTGTTCTGTGGAGAAGGAAAGTTAAAATATGGTTGTGTTCATTTCCCAAAAATACTAATTTTCATACCCACCTGCTGCAGCAAATGAAGTCAGAAGAAAACCTGGTTAGCTGGATTTGGGGGAGAGAAGAAAAATATTGGTTTACTTAGGAGTCATAACATTGAAATAGGAATACAGAAAATGGTGACTTGGTGATAGTGATACGAGATGGTAACAGCCCAAAGGGACGTATTCCCTTGATCACATCCAAAGTTGAATAACAGTGCTGGAACACTATCCAGCACTGCCAAATTCACTGCACATCACTTCAAACAAAAACGATACCGAACTATTTCTTTTTGGGTTTTTTGATACTTCACTTATACCATTAGTAAGATATGTGTTCTTCATTTGTAGATACCAATAACAGTGTTGTCCAAGATGGCAATGGAGAGAAGAAAGCAGAAAATTGTCAGTCACTGGAAAAACAAATTGATGGCTTATCTGTGCAAATGGCTCCTGCTGTTCCAGCTGCTGTGGGAGAGGATGAAATGCTACCCAATGACTTAGACTCTCTACCTGTTGAATTCAATTGTTTGAGTGAAGATGGGTTGGATCATAAACCTGGTACCAATGCACTTGTTCGAGGGCCTCTAAATTACAGCGTGAGTGGAGATGACCAAAAACGGGCCGTGGAATCTACGTCTGAATCTGTGCCAAATTCCTTTAAAATAACACCTACCATGCTGGAGGGAAGCAATGCTGACATCAAAATCAAAGTGATGAAAGAGGTTCGCAAACCTGGAAGAAGTAAGTTGTTTGGGTTTATTTATTTTATCAGTATATTATATGTGGTGTTAGAGAGAAGAGTTATTCCTTGAAGTAAGGAACTATTTTCAGAATACGCTTAGCTCTGGATTTTGAGTAACTTCTGATTGCTCTCATGTAAGCAATGGAGGGGCAAAGAAAAGGGAGACATGTTGGGCAGGTGAGTTGAAGTTTAGATTTGTGCTTGAGAGGTTGAGTGCCAAGCCACTCTGGTTGCCCTCAAAGACACCTTAACTGGTATAAGAGGTGCCCTGTGAAAGCACCTTTAGATGTTTTGTGTTTGTTATCAGTGATCTAAAGACTGCCTTACACTTTGCTGCTCCTTCTGTATCTGTAGTGTACTTGTTGCTCTGTGTCCATCAAAACTTCCTTTGCAGAGCAAAGGCATATCTCTTGTAAGGATGCATCTGGGAGTGTGTTTGAAAAGGAATATTAACAGCTAATAGCAAAGTGAAGTTTTTTTTAATTTGTGAGACTGTAATTAGTGATGGAACACCATTGCAAACTCTTTAAGACTTACAAAGACTAAAAATGACTTTTTTCTGTTTTCCTGTAAGATTGGGTAACCGTACAAAATCTAAAATATTGTGGAAAAAAGTATCTTGCCACCTCAGCTTTTATTACATGTTTTGGCTGTACTTTTATACAGGATCAAAACCAAAACACTAACCTGAAAGTTAATGTCTGTGCTGTAGGATTTGCCACAGTAACTTATTTTTCCAATTTTTATTAAATGGCAGCTGTCCCTAATGTGGTCTGTGTCTGAGTGACTAATTTCTACAAACTAAACTGCTGGATATTTTTCTAATACATTCTCAAGTGCCAGTAATTAGTATAATGGAGTGTTCTTAACTCTTCTGCTTTTCTCATCCTGTGTTGCTTGTGGCACACTGAGGCTGTTGAGAGGTGAAGCCTTTTTTATGCTGCATCTGTAATTTATTTTTAAGCAGTTTTAAAACTTCCTACTTGGGGATGTGTTTGCTTTCTGTTTTGCAAAGTGGGCTCATCTAATTTTATGCCAAATTCACGACTGGTAAATGGTGGTGTAGAGTAAAACAGTGCTGTGTTCAGTGTGAGTCACCTGCCTTGCTGCAGAGTTCAGGCAGTCATTGAAGAAAGAAGCTAAACAGTAGTGGGTGTGGGTTAACTATGTACATCTGTCCACAGTTCTGACCATTTATCCTCTCTGTGCCTGCTGCATCGCTCTGAGCAGGCTCTTGGTCACAGCACCATAAATGCCTTTATACTGGATTCAGATGTGGAAATGTTGAAACAATGCTGTTATTTAAATTGTTTTTAATTTAATGTGTCCAGTTTATTCTTTTGCAATGAACATATTTATCTTGTACCACTGAGATAGTGATGTTGTGCTCACAGTAAGGATTGATTATTTGTCCTTCTAGAGAACTAATCCTGACCTTTGCTTGCAGAAACAATGGCTCTGGGCCAAATCAGGGCTTGGTGACCCTGTGCATATTAACTGCTAATGCTGGCACTGTGGTCATGGAGGTGGGAGGCTTCTCTACCTAGCCTCCATTTTCTGAGGATAAATGTTCCTAGCTGCTGCTCTCGAAGAAAACCTTATTCTTTGATGCCACATTTGAATTACCTGATCATCAGTATCACTTCAAATCACTCTGTCACCTCTGTTCTCTGCATAATGCTTATGTGGGAGTTTTTCTGCCTTAGGTGTTTTATCATACACAGACAAGTGAAACTGGGCTTTGGGTTTCCTTTTGGCTGTTAAGCTTTAGTGAAATTGCATTTGCAAGATTGATTTTTAATACATGGTTTGGATTTTTATCTCTTTAGATTATGAAAAAATATTCTCTCTTCTCGAGGAGGTGCAAGGACCTATGGAAATTCAGAAGTATTTCATTGAATTTGCTATCAAGGAAGCAGCAAGGTTTGTATAGAAATAAGTGACTCAGAGTCATAAATTAAATATTAATTTAGGTCATGGTAGTAAATCATAAACTTTTCCAGTACTATTATTTTGTTTTCTATTTTGACATATTTCAATTATTATAGTTGTTTTAGTGGTCAAAATACTGTTATGTTTTTGTGGAGTGTAAATAGTCTTTACTTAAAATTTAAATGTGAATTACAGAGATGGGTTGATGCTGAAGACCAGCTGAAAATTTGAGTGGGTTGGGGAAGGGTGACTGTATTAAATTAAATTAAATTTTCTAGCCATTCTAATGCCAGAAATAAAAGAAAACTCCTCCATACTGGAAACAGAGAGCCTCTGGTATTACAATTTGTCATGGCTGAATAGTCTTTTAAGTTGTTCAACTGTATTTTTGGCAGAAAAAAATTAAATTACTCTCCCTCTCTTCTGTAGGTTTAAAAAACGAGTCTTAATACAACACTTAGAGAGAATACTAGAGGAACTAGATTTCACCAGCCCACCCAACAGAGTTAATCATGTCAACAGTAGATAATAATGTACCAGCCAGACGAATGCGGACCAGGAATGAGCTTGCTGTGCCACAGAAGAGTGGAAGAGGATGTAGCTGCTGCCCTCACCATCTTGGCAGTCAAGTGATTTTACTGTCACAGTCTGAGAAGAAGCAGTGGAGCTTTAACTTTAAGAACCTGATTCGGCAGAAGCTGGGCTATAACCTTAAGGATTTGCTATGAAAGGTGTGGCTTTCTCCTGTGGAGGGTGCTGTTTGCTCAACAGGCGGAAGAAAATAACCATTGCTGCCCCTCCTGCAGGTGATGAGAATTTACTCATTTGAACGCTGTCATTAGACATTTACGTGCTATAGGCAGCAGGTTGCACTAAAATGGGGCACTGTCAAATGCACACACTTGTCTGCATCGTGGAGAGAGCCCGTGTGTTCCCAAAAAAACCCTCCCAGAAACACCTGCACTGGTAAAAATTGCATGTTGCCACCACAGAGACAAGGGTCTTGTTCCCAAGAACTGCTAGCCATGCCTTTAAACTTGAGATTCAGTGTAGATTGAGAGTAAAGAAACTGCTATTGTGTTAATGAAAGCTAAAGACAGCCCTGTGACTGTTACCACCCGATGGTCACTAAACAATCTACCTCAGACTCTCTTCTGTTTTGTCTGCAGACATTATGAAAGTGCACCTGAGGCTTCCCAGGTCCCCGACTTCAGTTCTCTTTCATCCTGTGAGGAGGACGGAGATTCTTCAGGTGGCCTTGGCACACGCTGTGCTTTGGAAGCACTAAAAGGAAACGCTTTTAAAAACGTGTATTTTAATGTTCATACAAAAGAGATTATTTTGAACAGTATTGTTACCAGATCACTAATTTGATATTTTAACTGTATAAATTTTTTGGAACATATGTATATATAAAATAAACCATTTTATTAATTTTTAAGAAGTGCTAATCTGAGGAGTCTGTAGTGGGCAGCACTGAGTTCCTGCAGTTGTCTGTTACCAACAGACTGATAATATTTTTGTAAAACCAGCTGAACCTGGTCTTGCACACCCTCACACAAAGCTTGTGGTGATAGTTGCTGAATGTGGTTGTACCTGGAGTACCTGCCCAGGTGTCACTCAGCTCGGCCTCTGTGGGGTGCACATTTTTATTCAGTTTTAAGGGCACTAAGTTGCAGTTTACCAAACCCTCAGTTACCTGAGCTGGTATCCCCTCCTCCGTTCCTCTTACTGTTTTTTTCCAAAGGTGATTTATATATTACAAAACATACAAAGAAGACTGAAGCACCTGCATGTAATAATTATTTTCTTTAAAGCAGTACCAATAATATGCCAGTAGTAAGTGGCTCTTTGGATAAGTGCGTGGTTTCGGTTGTTCGCGCGTAACATCCTCTGATCCTCTGACAGCTTTCTTTAGAAGACAGGTTGAAGTTGTGCTTGTGTTAACTTGTGCTCTTGACCTCGTATGGCAAATATTCCATGGATTCTGGTTGACTTGCCAGGCAGGGAAACAGATTTTCGTGGTGAGCTTGTACTTCTCTGTTCCTGCTGGTATTTTTAGTACTAGCCAGCCTGTGAGGCATCTTTTCCATCCACTCCGAAGCAGTGGCATTGGCTCCTTGGAAGATGCAGTTTGACCATTGGGATTACACCAGTGAAATTCAAGAAGGAGATGAAATTCAAGAAGGAAATAAAATCCAGTGACAGCAAATCTGTCACAGTGTATATGAATGAAGTGACATAGAGGAAGGCATTACTATCGATGTGCCCTCATTCTTCTCTTAGAATTAACTTTTATTCATCTGTACAAGTTGAACGTTTTTTTAAAAAAAAAAAACACAGAAATACCTTGGAATGACACAAACGGGGATTTACTCCTTCAAAATTTTACATGGAAGCTGTTTGTCTGCATGATGGATCTCCCATTCCTAATGTTGGACTCTAAAGGGATTTTATTTGCAGAGGGTCGGATATACCATGCATACCTCATCATAAAATGCCCTGGTTACATGCATCAAGTTGCATGTAATATGCTATTTTTGAACTAGTAGGTGGTAAGAGGAGACAGCTTTCTTCCATATAGTTAATGGCTGTTTAATTTTCATTCCTGATTCCAGAGGCACTCGCTTGATCATAGCGTGTCTGAGCAGGGGCTGAATTTTTAACTAGTGACCTCGTTAGTATGTAAACCTGCTCTTCGGGTGTGATGCAGTTGGCTGCCAAATCAGCTACAGGAAGCTGGTGCATTTCATTCACATGTTTGGAATCTTATGCCTCAGAAGCTACAAAATATCCCATTCAAGTACAAACAGTGAGAATTTTTCTTTACGTCGCTGTCATTTTATCTGAATAAATTGAATTTGGGTCAGAATATTAAAAGAGAAGAAACCATATATATGTTTATATAGTGAACTGGACGTGAGTCTTTCATAAGGAGGAAGGAAGATATACCATCCTCAGGGGTTGTGTCAGTGCAGAGATGAAGAAAAAGAAGCAACAGTTATTGATCCAGGAGCACAGTCCTGAATTCCACATGGAGCTCAATGTGAACATGGTTCACTTAGAAGCAGAAAGCGCTCCAGAGCCGGGTTAAGGAGGATCTTAACAGAGCAAATTCACTGTAAGACAGACCAAAGTGCTGGATGTGGATGGAACATGCCTTGGGCAAACACAGCCCCAAGCTGTGCTGGCACTGCAGGGACAGCCAGGAGGGGTCACGCTGGTGTCAGGCCTTGCCTTTCCTGGTACAGACCATGACCCAGCAGCCACAGCTGCCTTACAGGGCCTGTCTAGTCTGTACAACAGCCCCTGCACAGCAGGAGTGTTCCTCAGGAGACAGGACAACTCCATGATACATACAGGAATTGGAAGCTGTTTGTGCTCTCCTTGAACTACATTTTTGAGCTCTTGCCTAAGGTTGAAGTAATGTGCCACATTTAAACTGGAATGTTGGGAACTAGGGGAAAAATTACAACTCTGTGTCTCCTATAAGGAGCATTGTTTAACTATCAAGATTAACAAATTTAGTGCTTGCCTTCCTGTTGTGGGTAGAAAGGCTATGTGGCGCTTTGGAGTCTGGATACCTGGATATATTCTGCTGCTTCCATTTTCTGACCCTCTCTTAACTAGGCCTCATTGCATGTTATCTTTATTATTTCCTATATAAACATCAAGGAGTTTTTCTCCTAAGCTAAATGCATTTATCAAGTGTATTCTTGCCCAGGTTTAACCAGCATCAGAAAGTGATTGTTGTCTTCCAAAATAACAGCTGTGGAGGCTGTTACTGTGCTGTGCTCTTGACTTTGCTGTGGTCAAGCAATTGTATGTCTCCCTTTGTAGGAAACTAAAAATACCCCCAAACCCTACTTTTGTTCTTTTTTTTCTTCTAATAGTTTTCTCCAGGTTCTGCCTCTAAACTGGCTGGCTGAAATGGCAGCAGTGTAGGGTATTGAGTTTGTTTCAATTTGTTCTGTTCTTTAAAATCTACTGAGGAACTTCTGATGGAAAAATACAAGAGGAAATGCATTGCCTAACAGAAACAAACTGTTAAAAATAACTACAAAGCTCAACTACAGTGCTTCATACTAGGAACATGGCAGCATCACACCTTAAGCAAATGGACTCAAGAGCGCTTGTCTTGAAGAATGTGTAACCTATTTAAGCTGAAAACAGGGCCAAAGACACTTCAAGTCTGGCAGAAAGGAGGTTTGGCAGAGATCTGAAGAAAGGATGTTAAGTCAGAGGATTTAAAAGGAGCTGCTGCTTTCAGGTTTGCAAAAACAAGTTGAAGTCTGTCTTAAGTGGAAAGAGAAGAAACTGGAGAAGAATAATGCCTTAGGATTTAGCAACGATCTTGTGGCGTGCAGGAATTGTTAAGCTGTATTCTAAATCTGAATCTTGTGATCATTTCGAGGAGGGCAGACTAAACAAAAAATGCTGGACTTTCCTGAACTACTCCATTCCATTTCAGCTGCAACCCAGCGTGTTGTTTCATCCGTGAAAGTAGACTGCTGGCTTGGCTTTATCCATTGGTGGTTTTCTTCTCTCATTCTGTGTTGTGTTTGTTGCTGTTGTTGTCTCTTGGTAGTGGCTAAACCAGCGTGACAGGGGAACCCTGAGCTGGGAGTTCAGGCAGGAGTTGTGGGAAGAGTCAGTGGGAAAAGCAGCCATTGCTTGTGCACTGTGAAGGTGGTTCAATGAGATGCTTCTCGGGTCTGGTAGCACCAGTCTGGTACCTTGAACAGCTGATTCCTGAGTGTCCAGAAGAAGAATGTGCCAAGGAAGGAGTTAAACTGTTGTACAGCCTCGTGGTAGATGCACTGGAGGGTATTTCCATAGGCATTGGAAGCCAGATGGCTTTGCCAGGAATGGGGACTTCTGGTACCATGTAAGGAAAACAGTATCACCCCAGAGCAGGAGTTGGGAAGCTCTCAAAACAACTGCATATTTAAGATTTTGAGCTTGGGCTGAAACTCTCAAACAATTTATGGTGAATTCCAAAAGAATAGTTTGGCTTGGGAAAGGCAGTGAAATGGAAACCTCTGATCAGAGTTTTACTGGAGATCTGTTTTTTTGGAGAGCTTGGGGAAGTTTTATCTTCACATCTGCAATGGGAATTTCACAGCTAATTCCTAGTCCTGGATCAGCTCCAACTGCAGTGGAAGTAGCTGGATCCTTGGCATTTATATATGCTCGCTGTCATGTCAGTCACTGTCACTCCTCTAATGCAAACAGTCTTGCATAATGTCCCTTAAAACATTGGACAACTCTGGCAATTTGCTGTATCCCAGTGCTCCAGTCACCACTGCTGAGCAGCCTGGCAGGAGGGACAGAGCTATTTAGGAATCATCCTCATGGTGTGTGCCTGTTTGAAAAATACAGCCCTGCAGGATGGTGAACAGGAGGAGAGGGTTATAAAGCACTTCAGTAGTTAAAAGGGCAAAGCATTTTTTATGTGGTCAGCCTGTTTCCTGTCATTTTCTCCAAACTTTATTTGTAAATGTTTAATATGTAGAACGTATCAGAGAGGTTCAGCCTTTTGTAAAGGATGGGTTTGGGAGACTTCCCCTCTTGCTTCATCTTGCAGCTGTGACCCATGTGCTTGTGCAGAGAGGTAGAGAAGGATGCTGGGCTGTGCTTGGGTTTTCCACAGGCAGGGACTCTGCTCTGGAACCATCCCAGGTCTTGAATGTGTGACAAGAGGCAGCTGGAGCTGAATTTTTGCTGGATTTCTGGAAATGCACTTACTATTTCTTGAGGTGGTGGTGTCAGTGTGAGCAGTTACTGTCTGGGCAGGAGCCTGTCAGTGTGTTTGGGGTTCCATCATGGGCAGCCAGAGGTCTCTGATCAGCACACGCTGCTGTAGTAGCTGCCTGATCTCTTGGCAGTGGGTGCCTCAGGGCTTCGAGGGTGCTCTCCTAAGTAGGACAGAAATAAAAATGAGCCCTCTTCCCCAAGATTGCAAAGTGATTAAAAAAAAAGGCATTTTGCTGATTGCGGATGATTATAATGCAGCTGCTCGACAGTGACATCCCAGCCATGGAAAAATAGCATTGGTTCTTCGAGCTGTTTTCCAGTCTGTGCAGCATATTAAAACCCTTCATGCACAGCTGGCACATTTAACTTTGATTATGTTGTTGAAGTGACTGATCTGAGAGCAGCCTGGATCCCAGTTGCTTGCAGAATTTGAAAATAAGGTTGTTCCAATTCATATGCAGTTGGTTATTTTGGAAGAGAGACAAACTATCTCGAGCACTTTTAGGGCTGCTAATTAAAGTCCTGTGGCTCTCCTCTGAGAGAGTCTTTAAAGATGGATGGAGGGACTTACCCAAGGTCATATAGTGTGTCACTAGCAAAGATTATTATAAAACCTGTGCCCTAATTTGGTCTTGTAAACTTGAATTATTTCCCTGGTGTGGACAATCCCACCACAAACCAGCA